TATTTTAAATGATAAATCTTTTAGATTATGACTAAAATTTACGATCTAATTTATTTTTGGGTACGGATAACGTTATAAGATAACGAAAAGTTACTATTAAAAGTGTGAGTTCATGGATACGCACGCGCGCATTCGTCAACAATTATATAATTGATAAAATGTTTATTGTCGTTATTGTAATAATAAAAAATCATTAGTAATTAACATTTATTTAATTTTTTAGTATATGTATATGTATATATATATATATATATATATATATATATATACTATATATATAATATATGGGGCATGCTGCAACAAAACCAGACAAAGTGAACATTGTTTAGCATCATTATTAGTATTAGTAATAGTAATGAGTTTTTATCAATCCAGATAATCAATTATAAGATTTATTCTTAAATTATATAAACAAATAAAAAAATATTAAAATATTAATAATTGTGTCGTGCAAATTTCAATTTTTTATCATCAACTGTTGATGTCATGTTTCTTTTTGAATCCGAACTTCTTATATTAATTTCATTCTTATTGATTAAAACTGTATTAATTTTAGACCTAGATTTTTTGCTATTAAATGTATTAGAAGATGATGGTGGTGACATATTTTCCCAGTCATTATTAATAAACGTGTTCCATATTTTTTCTAATTCATCAAGATCTTTTGTCCAGAGATCTTTCCCTGTTATCTTTTTGATTATTTCCAATTCATTAATTAAATTTTTATATTTATTTTTATACCTATCAAGTTTCTCTTTATCAAACATCTGGATTCTTATTTTTTTAATGTAATTGTAGCAATCATCATCTGAAGATTGATCAACATGTATCTTCTCAAATTTAAGGGATTCAAGCAAATTTGCCTTTTCAGCATTATTTTTATTTATGTAGTCCGTAAATTCTATTTTTCCATCCCTTATCATTCGAATAAACATTATTTTATTTTTTGTTTTACTCAAATGTTTTTCCAATTTTTCAATTAAATATAACTAATAAATATAAATTTTAAAATTAATTGATTTTCTTGAATTTTCAAATAAAAAAAGTTATTTATTATAAAAACTCACCTTTCTCTTATCATAAAAGCTTAATCTTAATTGATAAAATTCTTTGAGAATTTCTTCAGGAGTATTATATTTGCTTATTTTATTATTTGAATCAAAACACATCATATTGGATGTAGATATTTTATTTTGCAACTTGAAATATTTTTCAAGTCCTTCCTTTTTAGCATTTTCCATTTGTTGATGAGTCAATTCAATCTCAAGGTCTATTTTTTCATTTATACAATTATTTTTCACAATGCCCTAAATATATAAAAAATTTTTTGTATGTAAATTCCAAGTATTATTATAATAAAAATTCACATTTATGTGGAAGCATACCTTAATAAAACCATTTGCTATCAAGTCAGCAAGTTCCAATTCATAATTTTCGGTCCATTTACAAACTGGCAATTCAGAAATCACTATGTGTGTTTCACCTATTTTGGTCAAAACACCATATGATAAATATTTATTTCCTCCAATTTGTTTTATTTTGCCCTTAATATTAAATAAATAACCAAAGAATAAACAATTATGTAATAATTGTATTTGTAATAATCCATAAACATATACACAAAATAAATTCACAATAATTACTTGGAAACCACGATACCATGGGTGCATTGGAATTAATTCATCACTATTGATTATTTGTCTTAAATTATGAATGATATCTGTTGGGTTATAATTTGGAATATTGGTACTATAACCTAAAAAATAAGTATATTCACATATATATGTATGAGAGAAAAAAATGGCTTTTCAAAATTTATTAGTTATCAGAATAATTATAATAATGATGCTTGCCTGTTCCAATTCCTCTTGCACCATTTACAAGAACCATTGGAATAATTGGAATATGACATTTTGGTTCTAGCAATCCATCATCATCAGGATGAAAAATTGCCCTTGTAAATTGTGTAAATTTGGTTGATAAATAATGGCACTAGCTGCATCTTTCCCTCCCTATATCATTGATAAATAAATTCAAAATAATTTATTAATAATAAATGCTTGTAAAATATGTAATGAGAGTGACCTAGCAACAAAAAGATACTGATTTTTTCTCAACATTACACAAACATCTTTTTCCTACAGGACTTCTCATATGTGTCTATACACATGTTACTTTGATCAATTTTTAAAAAGATACTCACTTTGTACCTTGTACCAAAAAGTCCTCCAGGTTCAAGTAAATTAATGTTATTTGAGCCTACAAAAGTTTGCGCAAGTCTTATTATAGTAGAATAAAGATTATCATTACCACCTGCCAGCTCTGGAATCTATTAAATATATAAGGTAATATATTAATTAAGTAAAAAAAAAGACCATGAATAATTAATGCAATAATTACTGTAATTTCATATGTGTCCAAATTTCTTTTAATACAATCAAATAATATTTCAGATTGATTAGGCTTCAGGCCATTAATCATTGAAGGTATCGACCTTAAATTATTTTTTATTATATATAATGATAATTCTTTGTCAATAAAGTCCTTTATGCTAATACTATTTTGACTGTAATCAATATGTGCTCCATTCTATATTTAGTTTTTTTAAAAAAATATCAATAAGTGAATATTTAAATATATAAATTCTGTAAATAGAAAAATATTGGTTAAAAATCTATTAATAAATATTCAACTTACCTCTATCCTTTTGATCCAATTCCTTAGTTCTCCTTTTCTATTTTTGTCAAATATCATTTTAATTGACTTATAGTCTTCGTCATTCATTGACTTGAACTTTTTAACATGTTTGTCAATATCATTGAAATATTCATTTATTTCTTCAGATGTATGATTTCCTAGACTCTATACAGTTGTGATTATCAATGGTAAAATTTCAAACCAATCAATATGGTTATTTGAGATTGGTAAAAAAAAATTTTTTTCAAGCATGAATTAATGAATCAATAAATACCATATTGCAAGCGTGTAAATACAATTACAGCTCGGGTTGTGTCCAATAAATATATATAATAAAATAAATAAAAGTCCAATATATTAATCTCCCTATCTCCGCACACAGCTAAGGGTTCTCAAATCTAGGCC